CAGTACAAGTAGTCGCAACTCTCTTACCTACCTTAATTATCATTGCCTGGTACTACATATGTAGACATGTGGTGTACTTACAGTACAAGTAGTCGCAACTCTCTTACCTACCTTAATTATCATTGCCTGGTACTACATATGTAGACATGTGGTGTACTTACAGTACAAGTAGTCGCAACTCTCTTACCTACCTTAATTATCATGGCCTGGTACTACATATGTAGACATGTGGTGTACTTACAGTACAAGTAGTCGCAACTCTCTACCCACCATGATTATCATGGCCTAGTACTACATGCGCTTAGACTTGTGGTGCACTTACAGTACTAGCAATCCTCTCTACCAATAAACTAGACCATAAAAAAGAACAGAAACTCAAATATATGTTCGAAAAACCCAGTTTTATACTTCCAATATAAAAATGCTACATGTCAAATAACATTCAGCGTATATCAATATAAAATAACTAGATACATATAAGAATTAATTTTATTTCAATTTAAAGCGCTATATCCCCCTAGGGACACTTGCGCTGTCATACATGTATGTCTTTACAATTGTCTATACATATATATACAATAATTTTAGGTCGTAAGGAATAGCCATATGATATTAACAATGAGAAAGAGAGAAAAAAACGATAAATAAGACCTGTGTACAGAAGAAAGAAGTGTCTGGCAATATGTACAATACGCATAATATAAATTAGCAGTTTCTTAAAATATATTTGTCGCTATATAATTTGAAATATATCTATTTTGATATTCTAATTTGAAATACACATATAAGAATGATAACCCAATACCAAAACATAACGTATTACCTACCAATATCTAAAATATCTGTAAAATATTTCCGATTCAACTTTGAAGCGAAGTAATCTTGTGTAAAGGCAAATTCGCAATGGACAGAACTTCGTGTCCACTTCTATGGTCAGATATATAGTCGGAAATGATTCTGTGAAGCTTCCTCTTACGTCATTTCCGCCATCTGAGAGATATTTCCGGTCGGTTGAATATCCCGAGATTACTATGGATGGATTTTCCAGACTGTTGGTTTCTCTCCGAATATATGCCTTGTTTCATATATACATATTTCTGTATATATGGCGTCACACAACGTCATTCAATTACTCATTCCTGCTTATTAGCGCCCCCTATGGCATTATCAACCAATTAAATCTGCGCATGCGCGACGTCACTTCATTTTTGTATGTCAGTTCCACGCACATGCGTTCTTAGAACTTTAGACGTTTTATTTTGAACAGATTTTTAAAATGAACGTATGATGTTTGTATTACTCTCGAACTGACTACTAACACCTATGTAAATAGGTACAAGGTTGTACCAAAAGTTCGTAAACACTTGAAAAAATTGAAATACCAATATTATTCGCCATTATGTATAATGTCTTTGTATTATGTATAAAGATTTGTATTATGTATTCACCGTAATGATATTATTCAACACACACACACAACACATGTTGATATATATTTTTTTATCTTTTCATCTAACTAACTTGCATACTAATTCTGTACATATTTAAAATATCTTTCTTTCTTTTCTTTCAAAATTTTTTGTTTATGTTTAAAGTGCAAGTGTCCCTAGGGGGAAATAGCGCTCCAAGTCGAAATAAAGAATAAAGAGTAATAATATTATTCGTAAAGAAAAACAACTTTATAAGATTTCAAAATTGGTACATTGCGAATTTGTCTTCACACCTGATGACTTCGCTTCAAGGTTTAATCGGGGGAATATGAAGATATTTTAGACATTGGAAAGTAATGCGTTATGTTTGGGAATTGGGTTGTCTTTCTTATATGTGTGTGTATATCGGGTTTCAATCAATAATTCTGAAATATATTTGATACACAGTGACCATTATTGAAGACAACGAGATAACCAATATTTAACAAAATTGCCTCTGACTCCTTAAAAAAAAAAAACAGACGAACAACGACATCAAATACTTTCCACTTCCTTAAGGTTTATCCATGAGTGTATATATTTTATATTCCGAGTGGAGAAGGAGAGAATAAAAGAAAAAGTAATATTGATTATTAAATTAATGTTTAGATTGTCAAATTCAAATTTTACTTACAAAAAAAAGAAGAATGAAATATCAATTATTAGCAAATATGTTTATTTTATTTTAAACAAATTTAACTACATAATATTTTTGTCAAATGAGTTTATTAAAAAAAAAACACATTTAACTAACCCAAGAGAAAAAACAAATCTATATATACAACAGCACAAAATAATAATTTTAAAAAAGCTTTTTGTTTTTTGGTCAAATTAGAAAAAAAATTATATATCATAAAAAAATTAAATTGAATACACCAATACCTCGCTTTGCGTCGTTTCGTTTTGCGTTTTTTTCGAAGTTGTGTCGCTACTTAATTTTTACTGATTTTCACTGTGCGTCGTTAGACTTTCGAAGTTGCGTTGTTTTGGATTCGAGTCTTTAATTTTTTGGGATTTTTTTTCCTAAAATATGGCAACACCTTTTTTTTGATTGCGCCATGCCAACAAAATTTTATTTTCACTTTGCGTCGTTTCAATTTGCGTCGTGTTTTTTCGGAACGTAACCCCGACGCAAAGCGAGGTATGGGTGTATAACATTTATATATCCAATATATATATATAAAACAGAGAGAAATATCATATGTATTATACATATATATATATATCCAAGATTGTTACTTATAGCAAAAGATATACTTCAACACAACATGGAGAGAAGCTGTTATATAATACAGTGAGGTATAGAGTGGCATTGGACATCTACATGAATTCGTAGTTGAGAAAAGAACATATAAATATTTTAATCAATTTTGTAGATATATATACAACTATAATACAATATAATGCAGCTTATGATTGTAAAACGACATTTGAAAATTATCGTGTATGTGTTTCTTTTGAACTAAAAATCGAAATTTATTTTTAAGGAGAAATAACGATTATTTCTAACCTTAGGGATGAAGTATGAAAAGATGAATTATGAAGAGTAATGATAAACGGAAAAATAAATTCATCCCTGGTCACTTTTATTTTTCCGTTTATCATTACTCTTCACAATTCATCTTTTCATACTTCATTCCTAAGGTTAGAAATAATCGTTATTTCTTCTTAAAAATAAATTTCGATTTTTAGTTCAAAAGAAACACATGCGCGATATTTTTCAAATGTCGTTCTACAACTATATTTTGTACTGGGAAAGAGAGGGAAGGAAAATTTGAGAGAATTGCTTTTGTATGTTTGTCTTTTTTATCCTTTCTCCCTGTATATAGTCAATTTGATATGATGTTAGAAATGTATTGACGTAAATATACCTGAGTTTGTGATATCGTGTTAAAGGATGTTAATATAGTTAGAGTGCGCTGGGGTATAAAGATATAATGGGGAAGTTATAGCAGGCACATCACTCACCGAGACTTAGTAAACACAATCTACTTTCCCTCTATATATATATCATAAATATATTATATAGTGTTATGTAAGAGATAGGTATATAAAACTTCATAAATATTTATTTAGAAGTAGAGAGAGCGTGTGGATAACACATATAAATAAATAAATCCATTTATCTTAAACTCTTTTTAAAATTCAATGTTCGTTGAAGAATTCTTTATATATGGTTTTAAATTGGGAAAGATATTTGTCGTGGATTTGTTGTTGGGTATAAATTATACCATCTCTACTCTTTGTTGAATATTTTACGAAGTAAAAGAAATAAATCTTCAATTTACACTAATGGACAAATCTTAAGGCGGTTGTACTATTTAGCATGTATATCGGGATTCAGACAATAACTATGAAAGATATTACAGTGACCTTTATTGAAGACATACGATATAACCAAGTGTGAACAATATATACACTTATGGACAAAACATAAGGAAGTTAAACATTTTATCATTTATATTGGGATTCAGACAATAACTCTGAAAGATATTACAGTGACCTTTATAGAAGACACACGAGATATCCAAGTGGGAACATAATTGCCTATGTATTCCACTTCTTCGAAAAAAAAAAAAAGATCGATGCCTTAGCGCCCTATCTGGAATGAAAATTCGAAACTATTATAGACGCGTATGATTCTTTTTTTTTCTTCTTAATCAAACAATTTCTACTGCCCTTACTGCAATGGAAAAACGTATATATAAACTAGGCATATAAAGAGACACCTCTCCCTTTAATTATTCATCAGAACGAAACATTAGGTTTACCACCCTAGTAAAACTGGTGTGTGTAGTTCAATCTTGATTACCACTAGTAAAATGTTTTACTATGGCAATAAACATAATACATTGTTCTGATGCATAAATAAAGGGAGAGGTGCCTATTTATTAATTATTTCAAAAATTGTTAATAAATATTCACACACTATATTGCCACGTGGAAAATTAGGAAAGACAAACTTCAGGATGACACACCACTTTATTTAAGTCAAAAACAAACTATGAAGGATAAACAAAAGATAAGCAATGAGGGAAGTTTACAGAGTAACAAAATATAAACATAAAAAAATGATACTCTGTTAATAAAATAATAAATAACGAAAATTGCAATTATACAGCGAATGTTTCTTTTAAACGAAAAATCGAAATTTATTTTAAAGAGAAATAGCGATTATTTCTAACTTTAAGAATGAAGTATGATAGGATGAATTGTGGAGAGTAATGATAAACGGAAATATAAAACTGTCCAGGGATGGGAATCGAACCCACAGTGTTCCGCTTACCGGGCAGATGCCATGTCCACTAGGCTACCCTGGATATATTTTTCCGTTCGTAAATAATACATAAAGTAATACCTTTCATACCTCATCCCTAAGGTTAGAAATAATCGTTATTTATCCTTAAAATTTGATTTTTTGTTCAAAAGAAACACATGCGGGATAAATTTCAGAATGTCGTTTTACAATCATAAGCCGCATTATATTGTATTAAAATTACCTTATATAATATTTACGAACGGAAAAATATGTCCAGGGTAGCCTAGTGGACATGGCATCTGCCCAGTAAGCTGAAAACTGTGGGCTAGATTCCCATCCCTGGACACTTCATTTTTCCGTTTATCATTACTCTTCACAATTCGTCCTTTCATACTTTATCTCTAAGGTTAGAAATAATCGTTATTTCTCCCTAAATTTTGATTTTTTGTTCAAAAGAAACACATGCAGGATAATTTTCAAATCTCGTTTTACAATCACAAGCCGCATTATATTGTATTATAAATTACTATATATAAGTACTCTAGGATAATATAATCAGTATTTGATATAGCAGCGTTAACACTCAGTCTATCAGAGCTGGTGTATAGATAGAGAAAGAGAGATAAGAGGCGGTGGTGAAATGAGGTGAGAGTGGATTGTCAATAATTGAGAGGTGGAGAAACCATTTGTTAAGGAAAGGAAAGATTTGTTGACGTCATTTTCTCTTCCAACACTTCTCCTGGCTCACGTACTTGTTGGTTTACTGTCGTACATGCTCAGTCCAATAGGTGATTCTTCTCTATACCATGTTTATCTTGTTTTATCTCGCGTGTTTTCAATAAATCTCACTGTAATATATTTCAGAGTTATTGTATAAATCCCGATATACATAATAGAAGGTACAACTTCCTTAAGTTTTGTCCATGAGTGTATATATTATTCACACTTGGTTATCTCGTGTGTCTCCAATAAAGGTCACTGTAATATCTTTCAGAGTTATTGTCTGAATATCCCGATATACATGCTAAAAGGTACAACTTCCATAAGTGTTGTCCATGAGTGTATATATTGTTCATACTTGGTTACCTCGTGTGTCTTCAATAAAGGTCACTGTAATATCTTTCAGAGTTATTGTCTGAATCCCGATATACACACTAAAGGGTACAACTTCCTTAAGATTTGTCCATGAGTGTATATATTGTTCACACTTGGTTATCTCGTGTGTTTTCAATAAAGCTCACTGTAATATCTTTCAGAGTTGTTGTCTGAATCCCGATATACCTGATATACATGATAAAAGGTACAGCTTACTTAATTTTTGTCCATGAGTGTATATATTGTTCACACTTGGTTATCTCGTGTGTCTTCAATAAAGGTCACTGTAATATCTTTCAGAGTTATTGTCTGAATCCCGATATACATGCTAAAAGGTACAACTTCCTTAAGTTTTGTCCATGAGTGTATATATTGTTCACACTTGGTTATCTCGTGTGTTTTCAATAAAGCTCACTGTAATATCTTTCAGAGTTGTTGTCTGAATCCTGATATACATACTAAAAGGTACAATTTCTTAAAATTTGTCCATGAGTCATTTTTTAGCATACTAGTGCGATCGTAAGCAGCAAAGGTTTAAAAGGAAATAATTTAGAGGCTAAAATTGTGTGTCAAATTTTATTTTAGCTCAATTTCCATATGTTAGCAATAATTGTTGAAAAAACGTCATTAACAAAGTTGAACTTAGATTAAGGACTCTTTATTTATACAAACACACTATTAAATAAATAAACAAAAAGCCTTAAAGATTTAGCAAGCAACTTTGGACGTAAGAGAGAAGCTAATTGGCTATTTCCATACGGGATTTATCCAATGAGATTCAACCGTCGCGAAGTGGCCAATCGATAGACGTCTAGGGCTTCATTCCTATTGATTGGTGGTTCGACCATATCCAATAGGAGGAGGTTTTTGTCCAACGCTACGATATGAGAATCCAGTTCAGATGGTATTTCACTTGATAAACATATCTAGATTCTACATGGTATATTGACCAGTGATTGTAACTGGAAATAAGGGTCTCTGTTCGAAACCGGTGGAGAAGCACACACACAAAAGCCTTTATTAGGGACTTGCCCCATACAGATTCTCCCAATTGGGTAAGGTAATAATCATCTTGTGTTATTTACATAGGTAGTGAACTGGCTTTACTCTTCGTCTCAAGCTTATTCACTTGTTGACTGGTCCTTACATAATGATGATCTAAAATATTTATAGTAAGCTATTGGCTTAGATTTGTTTGCTGATAATTTTGAAAGCAATACGTAGGGTGAAATGTTGGTACATTTAATTTTTTGATATAGGGCCTTCCTCTCTGCATCAAGGGCTGTACAATTAAGCAGGTAATGGGGGAGTTCTTCAGTAATTTCCTTGTCATACAGTGTACATATTAGGTTTTCGGCCTCAAACTTCAGAACGGAAACCGGTGGAGAAGCAATTTTAATACTTTCTTTTTAAATAGCCTCCAACTATTGCATACGTCCGAACCCACTATGCAAGTAACCATATGTAGCACATTGCAAGTGTAAAGGTCTCTCAGCTTCTACATATGTAGACATGTGGTGTACTTATAGTACAAGCACTCACTACCCACCATGATTATCAAGGCCTGGTACTACATGTGTACTTGGAGTAAGTAGACACACAATGATGAATATTTAAATACATAATGAATTTTAACTATAATGAATATTTAAATACATTTATATTAAAAATAAAGAAGGCTTTTCCTGACCATGAGCACATGTGCTTTTTAGATGGCAGAGCGCAATCTAGTGGAGCAAAAATAGGATTCGTGGATGGCTTTTCTTGATTTATCAAGAAATTGGGTTGGCCAAATATCACGGAGCAAGCTAAATAAACGTTTAGTTTATTTTTGCTCCACTAGATGGCGCTCTGCCATCTAAAAAGCACATGTGCTCGTGGTCAGGAAATGCCTTATTTATTTTTAATATCAACACCTGGCCCACTTATCTTTTTAAAATTGTTTTTCATACATTTATATGTAATATTAATCAGGTAATATTTATATTTTAATGCAAAAGTAGAGCGTTCTGAAGATTAAACTGGGGAAAACACTAAGAAGAGTCTTCACTACTGATGAGCCAAGCATTTTCAATATTTATTTTATCATATTTATATATAAGAAGTTAGTAGAAACGATTTAATTTTAAAAAGTAGCGTTAAAAATTGTTTCAATTATCAACAATAGAGGGCGCTAGGATAATCCTATTTTACATATTTCCCTGAAAACGTAAAAAAGTCGGAATTTAAAACTATTAGAAAAGCTTTACATAATAATTAACAGCAGCAGGTTAAATATAAATAAATCTGTGTTATAACTAATCCCTCGTTAGTTTACGTCATTGTTTAAGGTCATTAGTGTTAATTAGAAGAAACACAAAAAATTAGGTCTCGAGGGGGGTTTGAACGCGTTCCTCAGGGCCTTGTTAACTATGGTGTTTTACAGAAATCTGAGAATTTCTTTTTATACTCCGCAAACAATGAAAAACATATAAGATTTAAATTCAATTTAAATTCAAATTTATATATTTCGTCATATATTATTTTAATTGGGTAGGAGGACAATTTTACTCTTAAAATATTAATTCTATTGTAATTCTTGGTTAAAGACAAAAATGGTAAAAATTTATTCTAAATTTAATAAACTCAAGGTAATAAGACCAAACCCAAATAAATTAATAGTGTGTGACGTTTCGGTAACAGCGTTGTTACCATCTTCAGACAAAAACTCTGAATGAGAAATTTTACCACAGCATGTTTCAAATAGTTACTGTTATCAAGTGTGTAAACAAGTAACTATTTAAAACATGCTGTGGGAAAATTTCTCATTCAGTACTTTTGTCTGAAGATGGTAACAACGCTGTTACCGAAACGTCACACACTATTTATTTATTTGGATTTGGTCTTATTATCTTGTGTTTATAATCTATAATCCAAATTGTGCCTCATTATTATAAATTTCATGTTCTAATAAATTACGCAAACATTAGAATTGACATGAATAGTGTTTTATCTTACCAAACAAATCGTCAAATGTTTGAATGTAAGAATTTAACTACAAGACACTCTAATAAATAGGTTTAAAGTAAGGAACATAATGTCCCATGGTGTGTGTGTGTGCTGAACTTATGGAATATAAGCATTCTCCCTATCTTATAACAACATTGATGATAGCTTGTGCCATCTATCGGAATATCAATCAACAAAAATTGATTTATTTTTATAACTATCAGAATATTGTCAATTCTTTTTTCTATAGATATATCTAGATAATAAAACAAGAAAATATAAAGATTGTAAAAGACTAAAAATAGGACTACTTTTAAAATTAAGTACATTCATCGAGAAAGAGAGAGAGAAAAAACTTAAAGAATTTGTACTTTTTTACTGTATATCGGGATTTAGTCAATAACTCTGAAAGATATTACAGTGAATTTTATTGAAGACATACGAGATAACCAAGTGTGAACAGTATATACACTCATGGACAAAACTTAAGGAAGTTGTACCTTTCAGAATGTATATCGGGATTCAGACAATAACTCTTAAAGATATTACAGTGACCTTTATTGAAGAAACACGAGATAACCAAGTGTGAACAATATATACATTAATGGACAGCACTTAAGGAAGTTATACCTTTTAGAATGTATATCGGGATTCAGACAATAATTCTGAAAGATATTACAGTGACCTTTATTGAAGACACACGAGATAACCAAGTGTGAACAATATATACACTCATGTACAAAACTTAAGGAAGTTGTACCTTTTAGCATGTATATCGGGATTCAGACAATAACTCTGAAAGATATTACAGTGACCTTTATTGAAGATACATTAAATAACCAAGTGTGAACAAAATTGCCTCTGTCTCCTTGACAAAAACAGTCGACCGAAGATATTAAAGACATTCCACTTCCCTAAGTTATGTCCATGAATGTAGAAATCTATATATTTGACCTACCCCCAAATGAAACATTTCCACAATATAGAGTTAATTCTGGAAGAAATCATTGTCACCCAGAGTTCCAATATACAAATAATTCCAATATTTATTCGATATTCAAGTATTACAAAACAATGATGAGATAATGATATATTACAGAAGGTAAGAATTAATTAAACACCTGAAGCAATTTTGATAAATATTCACACATAGAAACACAAAATATGAAAGCGCAAATATCTACTTTAATTGAGAACCTTTGGAATTTTGTAGATACATATATTCCTAATCTATTTAATCATACTTTATTACGAATAAGACA